GTGTGTGTGTGTGTGTGTGTGTGTGTGTGCGTGTGTGTGTATGTGTGCGTGTGCCTGTGTGTGTGTGTGTGTGTGTGTGTGTGTGCGTGTGTGTATGTGTGAGTGAGTGTGTGGGATGTGTGTGTGTGCGTGTGTACCTGTGCGCGTGTGTGTGTGTGTGTGTGCGTGTGTGTATGTGTGAGTGAGTGTGTGCTGGTGGGGAGTGGGGTGTAGTGGGGCAAATGGTTGCCCATTTTGCAACCAGTTAAATTCGTGAAGAAACACAAACAGAACCTGCTGGAGAAACTCAGCAGGTCTGGCAGTACTGGTAGAGAGGCAAATAGAGTTAATGTTTTGAGTCCAGTATGTCTTCTTCAGAACTGAAAAATGTTGCAAAATGCTTTATTATATATATTTTTGACAGAGGCAGAGCCAGGGGGGCAGCGAACAAATGGTGTAGGGTCACAGTGCAAAAGACAAATGGATTTTTAACGGTGCAGAGAGAGAAGAAGAGATGTAACTGGCTGTAAAATATGGATTGAAAGGGAGAGAGTGGGCTCTCTCTACTGAGAGTAAAGTAAACAAGACAAGGCTGTTGAGGTGAGGTGGAGAAGAATAGAACGTAAGAAAAATTTAGCACTGTAGTAATGTAGCTAGAAGTGATTAAAGATTTGGAATGACTTTACCATGCCTAAGTCTGGAGTAGAGTAGGTAAGGTTCATCAACAAAAGTAGCCCAGAGAGGAGAGAGACGAATTGAGCCAGACACAGAGGACCCAGCAATAGAAATCCCTTCCATGGTTACCCCAATTCCAAACCAAGCCCGGGCAGCCTTTAATTTTTAACTTGCAGCATGTTTCAGGCTGCGGGTCATCCTGTGTTGTGGGCCCTCTGATTGGGTCACTCATCTTGGGATCCTGAACTGGATGGTGAATGTCGGGGGGAGGATTTGGGAGCCTGTCTCAGATAAAGGTGCTCGGGCGGCCATCTTGACAACAAGTGTGAGGTTTTGAGACCTAAATGTGGTCCTACTTTCCAATGTTCCTCAGGAAACCCAGGCCCCATTAAACTTTCCGCAGATGCAGCCTGGTCTGCTGTGTCTATCCAACATTTTCTATTGTCCCAGCATCCGCAGTATTTTGGTTTTAACCTACTATTTCCAGGTTTCCCCTTCTAACCAAATATTTTCTTTCTGGCACACCAAATTTACAGCTCCGTCAATAACTTGGGTTCAATTCCCACACAGGCTGAGGTTACCAAGAAGACCTCTCCTGCTCAAAGTCCCCACTCACCTAAGGCGTGGTGGCCCTCAGGTTAAACCATCACCAGTCATCTTTCTGGTGCCTATCTGAGACTATGGTTACCATACAGTGAAGACTCAAGTAAATCTGATTTCTTACATCAATTCTGACTGCACACAGTTATCAGTATTATTAGCTGAGAAGCACAATAGGATTTGTCCTAAAAGTCCAGGTCTCAGAGCTGGGGTGAGTTACTCGGATTTGCCTGGCATCTTGGACAGGTTCATGGACAGGAAAGGTTAAGAGGGATACGAGCCAAATGCAGGCAAATGGGACCAGTTCAGTTTAGGGCACCCAGTCAGCATGGATGAGTTAGGCCAAAGGGCCTGTTTCCCTGCTGTATGACACTATAACTCTATGACTTACCGTTTGACATGATTTGAAAGTCAGATCTGGGTCAGATGTCCTGGAATAATGGCGGGTCAGGATGCGTTGGCACTGGCAGCGAGTTCAGGAGTGGGTTAATTAAAGTAGCATTGAACGTACCCTTCAGAACAGTGTCCATGATAGAGGGGCTGAGCTGGAGGAAGAGAGGAAAACAATATTAAAAACAATCTATACATAATTCTATACACATTTAGAAACAATTCTACGTGCATTTAGAAGCAAATGGACTGATTAGCGATAGACAGCATGATTTTGTGTGCAGGAAGTCATGCCTCACTAACTTGATCGAGTTTGTTGAGGAGATGACGAAGATGATTGATGAGGGAAAAGCAGTGATATTGGACTTCAGTAAAGCCTTTCACAAGGCCCCTCATGGCAGACTGGTACAAAAGGTGAAGTCACATGGTATCAGGGGTGAGCTGGCAAGATGGATACAGAACTAACTTAGTCATAGGAGACAGAGGGTAGCGGGGGAAGGATGCTTTTCGGAATGGAGGGCTGTGACCAGTGGTGTACCACGGGAATCAGTGCCGGGACATTTGCTGTTTGTGGTCTACATAAAGGATTTGGAGGAAACATGGCTGGTCTAATTAGTAAGTTTGCAAAGGATACAATGATTGGTTGAGTTGTGGATATTGAGGAGGATTATCAGAGGATACAGCAGAATATAAATCAGTTAAAGGCATGGGCAGAAAAATGGCAGATGGAGTTTAGTCCTGACAAATGGGTGGTAATGCACTTTGGAAGGTCAAGTACAGGTGGAAATTATACAGTGAATGGCACAGCCCTTAGGACTATTAATATGCAGAGGGATCTGGGTGTGAAGGGCCACAGTTCACTGAAGGTGGCAGCGTAGATAGATAAGGGAGTAAAAAAGGTCTATGGCATGCTTGCCTTCATTGGAGGAGGCATTGAGTATAAGGATAGGCAAGTTATGCTGCGGCTTTATAGAACTTTAGTTAGACAACACTTGGCCACACACTACTGGAAGGATGTGGATGCTTTGGGGAGGGTACAGAAAAGGTTTACCAGGATATTGACTGGTATGGGAGATTTTAGCTATGAAGAAAGGTTGGATAGACAGGGCTTGTTTTCACTGGAACACAGAAGGTTGAGTGGTGACCTGATAGAAGTTTATAAGACTGTGAATGACATGGATAGAGTGGAAAGCGTGAGGCTTTTTCCCAGGGTGGAGGGGTCAGTTACTAGGGGACACAGGTTCAAGGTGTGAAGGCGATGTTGAAAAGAGATATGCAAGTCACATTTTTCACACAAAGGGTGTTGAGTGATTGGAAGGCGATGCAAGAGGAGGTGGTGGAAGCAGGCACAATAGCAGCTTTCAAGAAGCACCAGGACGAACACAAGGAAATAGAGGGATACAGATCCTGTAAGTGAAGACGGTTTTAGTATGGAAGGGCAAATGGTGTCAGTGCAGGTTTGAAGGGCCACAGGGCCTATTCCTGTGCTGTATTGTTTTTTGTTCTTTGTCCTTTGTTCCTTGTAATCGACAAATTAAAGATTAATGAGTGGTGATAAGTTGGGCTGTTTCTGGCCAAGTGAATTTTATGTAACTCAATCACCATTATAATATTTCTCGGTGAAATTCAGTGTTAAATAGAATTGTTGAAGAATACAGTACACAAGGAGGCCATTCAACCCATTGTGTCTGTGCTATCCAATTGGTGCCACTCGCTGTTTCCTCATTCCCCAGCATTATTTTCAGTATTTCTCCAATTCCCTTTTGAAAGTCCCTGTTGAATCTGCTTCCAGGCTCCTTCAGGTAGCACTTCCCAGGATCACCAACAACTAACTGTTTTTAAAACAAAACTTTGCGTTTTCCCCTTGACATTTTATTGTGAAATATTTGAAATCAGTGACCTGCTCATGGAAACAGTTTCTCCTTTTCTGTTAGACCAGGAGCAACAGGAACAGGAAAAGGCCATTCAGCCCCTCGAGCCTGCTCTACCATGCAGTAAGATCATGGCTGATCTGACATTTCTCATGTTCACTTTCCTGTACTTTACACATAACCCTTGATTCCCTGATTGATCAAGAATCTATCTCAGCCTTAAATATACACAAGGACTTTGCCCCCACAGCTCTCTGTGGAAAGGAGTTCCAAAGACTCACAACCCTCTGAGAGGAAAAATTCATCTTCAGCTCAGACTTTACTCTGAGATGATGCCCTCTGGTCCTAGACTCTCCCACGAGGGGAAACATTCACTCAATATTCACCCTATCCAGCCTCTTAAGAATCCTAAATATCTCAGTGAGATCACTTCTCATTTTTATAAACTCCAGTGAGTAGAGTCCCAACCTGCTTAATATTTGCTCACAAGACAATCCCTCCATACCAGGGATCATTCCCATGAACCTTCTCTGAACTGCCTCCAATGAAATGATATCTTTCCTGAAATAAGGGACCAAAACTGCTCACCCCCGCTTTGTACCATTACAGTAAGACTTCCCTACAATTATACTCCAACCCAGAGCCAACACAAAAAGCAGAACCAACACAAAACTCCTTGACTTGTGTTGAATCCTTCCATCAGATCGTCACAAATGTTTGCAATGAACCTGGACTGAAGTAAAACTGTGCAAACGAAACAAAATCACCAACCGTTGTAAATGCAGATCATTTCATCAGGCCGAGGAGTTGACTGAGACAGCTGATTAACACCATTGTTCTTGTCATTCTATTCATCAGTGAGGTTTTATTCCTGATCATTACCACTTCTTAATGCTGGTTTGGATTTTGTTTTCATGTCTTACATGTGAACTACTAACACGTTTATTTAACAGACTGCAGGCAGTAAAGCCACTTCATTGTAAAATATCCATCCAAGATTTACACGGTCACTACATTGTATTCCTTACACAAAGGCTTCTCTGTGACTTAACAGGATTGTTCCTAAGGGGGTACAGGTTTTAGGGAACTGCTAATCCTTTTTTATTTAACTTAACTTGTCCATTAACTACTATTAGCTATTTTAACTGGATACTGACAGCTGCGTCCTTGTAACCCTTGAACTGAATTATACTACAAAATGCCTTGTGCATCATTGCAAAGTGGGGATATCTCATTGCGGCAGGATAACATCATTTCACTAAAATCAATGCGGTAGGTTGGTGATTTTTATTCTCAGCCACAATCAGATTGCTTTTCCTTCTCAGTGTAATAAAGTCAGTGAGGCTTGTGTGCTGTAGAGGGACCAAACAAGTTGCCAAATCTAGACTAAGTGGTGAATAAGCTAGACGAGAAATGAGGAGAATCAACAGGATGAGTGTTATGCAGGGTAAAGAAACAACCTATGCAAATTTTTTCACGCGCCTGCCAAATTCTCAGTCTTTTAGGAAAATGGAACACAAGTCCAAGGGGCCAATGTTGCATTATTAGCATAAATTCGTTAAATTCTAAATCCCTCCACAATTAAACAGCCTTTAGATACACTCTATTCCAAATTCAACAAAACGCCAGTGTCAGAAGAAACCTTCTCCTCAGGAATAATATGACACTGGAAAATGCATGTGGATGATCCATGCACACAATTAAGCTGTGCTCAAAGCAGTATATGAGAGAGCCCAAATGTTTTGATTGGCTATGTTACCAGCCCTGATTACGTCAATCAGCAAAAGAGTTACCTTGCATTTCAATGATTACCCTTCAATGACTGACTGCACATCGTAGTTCGCTCGCAGAGTACAAAGTGGGATTGTACAGCAAAGAAAGTAAGGGGAGACCTAAATGGAGATATTCAAAGTTGTGGGGAGTTCTGAGAGAGCACGTATGGAAAAATTGTTTCCAGCTGGTAAGAGAGTCAGCAAACAGATCCAAAATAACGTGGCAAATAAACTGGAGCATGTCACAGAATGTAGTACCGTCAGATTTCATAGGAAGTTTTGAAAGGCAATTATTTGAAGAAAATTAATTTGCAGGCTCTGGGCAAGATGTTGGAACTAAATTAAACAGCTCTTTCAAAGATCCAACACAATCCAAACAGCCCCAACATGTGCTGCTAGCTTCCATGATTCCACGTGTTTTAAATGATACCAAGATATGTGCTAACCACATAGGTTGTGTATACAAAACTGCAAAAGAAACAGGCATAAGTACAAACATAAATGTTCACCTCAGATAATTGCATCATTCGTAAAATATAACTGAGCTTAATCGCTCATAGCTGATTCATGTACAGGAAACAGAACAAGGTTAATGGTTAAAACAATATTAAATATAAAAGGCAGAAATTCCCGAAAACATGATCACAGGATTAAAGACCTCATGATCAATTAGAACCAAAGTGGTGGAGGTTGTCAAGTGAGTTTGACCCTGTATTCCCTGAACCTGTGACAATAGAAATATAACCTACATCAAACAGAGAGTAAGCAGTGTCTCTGAGTTGACATCTGTATGATATTAGTATGCTGTTAATCATGAAACGCAATGCAGATCATCAATCCTACTGCAGAAGTTAATTTCTTTTCTTCAGAATGCAGGGTTTTTTTTTCACAAAAGAAGCAGAACACTCCACCTACCTTAGTCCTCGGAAAATTCTATCAGAATTCTGAGTTCCAAACACTCTTAATTTTGTGTAAATGCTTCAGTGCTTGTTCAACAATCACTTTTATCACCTGACTGTATCCACAGATTTCATGTTGCACATTTCCGTGTCAGGTAGATATAATTTAAATGGAATATTCTACCATCAAGCAAATGAGTGGAGAGGAGCTGGCTACAGAGGGGCCGAGTGAAACAATAATAAATATTTTAAAGGAGGGAATTCTGTCATCAGAACTCTTTGCAGGATTGAGCAGTGGTAATTAGTTACTAGCAAGTTTAATCCTGCAAAATCATTCCTTGGAATAATTTGCTTGCCAGAGGAATCACAACACACAGGATGGGTAAACTGAGGTCCAATTCTGATTCTGTTCCACTCTTATCACCCAAAATGGGGTTTCATTGTTCATGTTTTCACAAGCAGGATTATCATTAGCATCAAGTTACCTGATGAAGTATAAGCATAAATCCCGCACTATTCCATCAACTAGCCCATTAGAGACTTGGAAATGTGGCCGAGTACAATTATTCTTTAGCTGACAGCTGGCCTGATGCATTCCGAGCTACTTTCTCAC